GGTTGAATTCTAAACTATTTTTCATTTTTTAGTTGAATTTAAATTTTTTCAATTTTATTTTTTATTTTTCAATTATTTTTTTAACATTAAATTGTCATCGGTCCTCGATAAATCTACAAAGTTTGAATGAAATCTGGCCGTTTAAAGTGGGTCAAAATCGCGTCTAAAGGAGTCAGTTACAAACATACAAACATAGGTACATACAAGTGAAGCTAATATAAAGCGTGTAAAAAATACTTGAAAACAAGCCATGATCTCGTACGCATTTTTTCTCATGCCCGAAATCCAAGGTCGCGCAATTAACTCAATTATCGCACGTGCTAAGAGTTTATCTGGGGCACGTTGTTCGATTCACAATTACCGAGGGTCATTAATATTAGCAGTAAACTAACATCTGAAGTTTGAATCATTGTTTTGGAAGTACATAATATTGTATATTGGCAAGACATTTCCACTGATCTTTGGGTTGCTCAAATCTAAAGTGGTGCTCAATTTTAACATTCCAACATGTTCTAAGTTGAATAAAAAGTGTGCAAATATAAAATAAATATATAATTAATTGAAGTTTTTTTTTTTATTGCTTAGACGGGTGGACTAGCACACAGCCCACCTGGTGTTCAGTGGTTACTGGAGCCCGTAGACATTTACAACGTAAATACCTTGAGATATGAGCTCTAAGGTCTCATTATAATTACAACGGCTGCCCCGTCCTTCAAACCGAAATGCATTACTGCTTCACGGCAGAAATAGGCAGGGCGGTGGTACCTACCCGCGCGGAGTCACAAGTGGTTCTACCACCACTTTTATTACACGATGTTATTCCTTCACCGTGGAAGTCAATCGTGAACATTTGTTGAGTACGTATTTCATTAGAAAAATTGGTACCCGCCTGAGATTCGAACACAGATTACTAACATGTCAATTTATTATATAACAGGCTTTTGCCCGCGATTCCGTCCGCGTGGAATAGTTACTTTGGCATAACGCTAAATTTTACCTCCCACTTGATTTACGTAGAAAGTGAAAATATTTTTAAATTATAGAATGTTAAGGAAGCTATTTAAGCCCCTATTTCAAAACATTCTTTATTGGTGCTCCACTTGTATTGGTCTTACCGTGCTGTTATATAACCTATAGCCTTCCTCAACAAATGGGCTATCTAACACTGAAATAATTTTTCAAATCGGACCAGTTGTTCCTGACATTAGCGCGTTCAAACAAACAAACTCTTCCGCTTTATAATATTATAGTATAAGATATTCATAAATTATAGTCATAAAGAATTTAATTACATTCATAATCCATTAAAATCATAAAATAATAGATCTAATCAATTACATGTTTTATCATTCAAAAATACAACAACAACAACAACAACATATCATAACATTTCTTTAAAAAAATATTTACATCGTTTTTGATTTGTCGATTCTTTTTATCCTTGGAAAATATTAGGTAAACGGCTTCGATCAACAATAGTAACTATTGATGATCGAAGGTAAACGGTTATCTATATATTAATACGTGAAGCAAAAACTTTGTATCCCTTTTTACGAAAATTGCGCGGACAGAGGAGTATGAAATTTTCCACACTTATAGAGAATATAGAAAAGAAGTGCACAATGCTAATATTTTTTTAAAATAATGCATAAAAGATACATTAAATCAATAAAGAAAACATTACACACACTACATACCATGTATTTGACGCACACACGCAAGCATACCATTTATTGATGATTTATTGTCAAATTTTTGTTCTTGACGTCTGTGGTCAAATTGAGAATAGATTAAACATTGTTTGTCTTTATTAATTTTGTTTATAGTGTAGAAGTATAAAATACAATCATAATAGTGTACAAACTTACAATTCCAATTAATTATAGTCGAATTTCGACTACTGCGGGATCTCTAGTAAATTTTAATGGCCACACAATAAACATTTTTCTGATGAACTGTCAATCTCTGATTTGGTACTTGAAGGGTGTCTTTATATTGATTTCTAACATTTCTTTAATTTTGAAATAAATTAAAATTGTTTTGTACAAAAACACTTAATATCTCAAACAATGGAAGAGAAAAAATATCACTGGAGATAAATTTAGATTTATAACTATCCAAAAGCGAATCAAACGAATACCGTGCGCGATTTGGAGGGAGATAGAAAATTTGGACCGAACTTTTTTTTGGGTGTGGCAATCGGTTTTTGGTATTCTGTTGCCAGCTCCGAGCTTATAAAATAAACAATTATTATTACGCACATACATAATATTTATATTGCCAAATGAATTATCAGAAATTATAATTGGAATTAAATACAATTAAATGTCGGATGAGACCGGCTGATTTTAAATGAATTAATGTCTCATTAAAATGGTAGAAATTTATTGCAACGTTAGTGAACTCTTTGGAAGAACCCGAGAAGCCATGACCATCTTCCATCATGATCTTGTTTCATTTTTCGATACCCTTGCACGTTCATAGATGCGAAACGATTATTATAATCTACCCTTAGGTATTTAAAGTTTAAATCTAAAGAATTCGCGTTCCCGCCAAAAACCGCCTGCAACGAACTTCAATGAAAAACAATAGGAGGCACAGAGATTTACATTCAAACTGCCATGAAATACCCGTTAATAAAACACTTCTAACACTTCTAACACACTAACTTCCCTCTCTCTCATATCGTCATTCACTTACTCCATCTATGTCTTCTTCGGTCGACCTCTTCCCCCTCTACCTTGCACTACCATTTCCATACATCTCCTAGCCACATGCATCTCCTCTCTACGCATCACAAGGTCATACCACGCTAACCGTCTAACTATAATAATAAATAATATAATAATAAATATTTACTAACAATCACGCCACGTTAACTGGTCCCGTGCTAAGTTCGTAAAGAACCTGTGTTACAGGTACCAGATAACGGAAATAAATCTAAGATTTTTAATATACACATACATAAGTCGTCGTGGCCTAAAGGATAAGACGTCCGGTGCATTCGTGTTGAAGCGACGCACCGGTGTTCGAATCCCGCAGGCGGGTACCAATTTTTCTAATGAAATACGTACTCAACAAATGTTCACGATTGACTTCCACGGTGAAGGAATAACATCGTGTAATAAAAACCAAACCCGCAAAATTATAATTTGCGTAATCACTGGTGGTAGGACCTCTTGTGAGTCCGCACGGGTAGGTACCTACCCGTGCGGACCACCCCGCCTATTTCCGCCGTGAAGCAGTAATGCGTTTCGGTTCGAAGGGTGGGGTAGCCGTTGTAACTATACTGAGACCTTAGAACTTATATCTCGAGGTGGGTGGCGCATTTACGTTGTAGACGTCTATGGGCTCCAGTAACCACTTAACACCAGGTGGGCTGTGAGCTCGTCCATTCATCTAAGCAATAAAAATAAAATAAAAAAAGAAACATATATTTCATATACATCCATAACTCTGGAAAAGACATTTTATATTTATCATACAAATATCCTCCCTTGGCGGGATTCGAACCCGCGACCCCCTTGTGTAGTGACCATGTCACTTACCACTACACCAGAGAGTCGTTAAATTAGGTAATATATGTATGTAAATTAAAACTTAAAATAAAACAGAACTAACAATTTATTCCATTTTTTTTTCCTGTTGTTACTGCTCAGGTTATTAGAGCGAAGTTATAAAATTATTGTATCATTATCGTTCGATGATGCGTTTGCGAATTGTCAAGTTAATCCGACGCCGCGACGTGTTGAAGTTGTTGAAAATGATGTTCAAAGCTTCGGTAACATACGAACAAACATACATACAAACCGAGCTAATATATATTAATACGTGAAGTAAAAACTTTGTATCCCTTTTTACGAAAATTGCGCAGACGGAGGAGTATGAAATTTTCCACACTAATAGAGAATATAGAGAAGAAGTGCACAATGCTAATATTTTTTTAAAATAATGCATAAAAGTTACATTAAATCAATAAAGAAAACATTACACACACTACATACCATGTATTTGTCGCACACACGCATGCATACTATTTATTGTCAAACTTTTGTTCTTGACGTGTGTTGTCAAATTGAGAATAGATTAAATATTGTTTGTCTTTGTTAATATTTTTTATAGTGTAGTCTTGGCGAAATTTGTGATTATAGAAGTATAAAATATACATAATCATAATAGTGTACAAACTTACAATTCCAATTAATTATAGTCGAATTTCGACTACTGCGGGACCTCTAGTAATTGTAAATAGACATGCTTTAACAAAAACCGACTTCAAATAGAAAAAATAATAATTCCAAAACAAATTAATATTCACTACAAACAATAATCATCGAAATCGGTTGGCGTGATATTAAGTTATTGAGTTATTCATCTATTTGTCGCGCACGTACTTAACGCAAATTTAAGACTTATATGGTTTTCTCATGGATACCATTATTAGAACTGGACTAAATGGAAATGGGACCACGCGGGAAGCGTCACCTTCTAATAAAAAAAGAATCATCAAAATCGATTCACTCAGTCAAAAGTTATGAGGTAACAAACGTAAAAAAAACATACAGTCGAATTGAGAACCGCCTCCTTTTTTGAAGTTGGTTAAAAAGTGTTGGAACAAGGCTAGTGTTAGCAAATTTTCTGTGGTTGAGCCCGCGAGCTCACCTAAGCCCTTAGGCTGTTCGGCTAAGCTTATTCTCGGTTTGATGTAGGTCGGATATTTTTTTTTTATGTTTGATGTATGAACTGGTGGCCCGGAGGCCTTTCCAGTTTCACCAGGACAGGTGGGTGAGCAAAGGCTCAACCAGGAGGGGTGGGATTTGCTAACAGCTGCCGACGAGAAACTCGGTAGGAAGATGCTTAGGTTAGGTTGTAGGTCGGATTTGTGCGTCACATTTATATGTGAATAGCTCCTAAGTACAACTTCGATAATGACTTCATCTACTTACACGTTAATGACTAACTTTGGAGGTTATATCAGTGTGTGAGTCAGTCTCGCTGCGTCGGGCGTGAAATGCGAACATGCCCCCAAGTGTTCATTCATAGTGTATAGTGAATGTTGTGTGTAAATTATTAAATCGGTAAAGTACACATATAAATACGATCGCTGACTTCGTTAATTTATATACGTGTTCATCGAATATGGTAATTTATGTAATTTCAAAGTTCGTTGCGATGTTTAGTTTTAATGGCCTTCGAAAAAAAAAAAGAGGGCATTCTCGATTCGATTATATTTGAATATGCAATTTCGAAAAGGGCACATGTCGCATATTTTGTCAAATACGTTTTTCCATATACATGTAGTTTTGAGGCTTACCTACACACCCATTTTATAATAATTCCAGTAATTTTCAATTGCTAATTAACTCTAAAATATATCTCAAAAGTTAATATTTTAAGTTTTACACTGCTTAAGAAAATAATCAGTTTTTTTTTCATTTCCTGAACATTTTACAATTTCAGGGATGTGCCCTTTTTGGAAATTGCATATTTATTTTGTTTAAGCGTTACCTCAGAGCTATTTTATAGGTGAACCGATTTTGTTGGGTTTTTATTTTTGAAACCTTATCAAAATTCGACCAATTGTTTTTGAGCTATCCTTAATAAAGTATATTTATTTGAATTTTTAAAACATTAATCATATTCTGGTATTATTTGATTGAAAGATTTTTGCTTTTCGTTGTTAAAAATAAACAAATGGTAACATAACTTGGGTGCTTGGATTTATCAACACGATCCGATAAAATATTTTCCAACGACTTTATCAATCGGTTTAGATAGTTATATTTTATTTAGAATTGTTTTTAATAATGACTAGCGGCCCGCCCCGGCTCCGCTCGGGTCTTTAACAAAAATTTCAACGATATTTGACGTTGTTTCATTTTTTTAAATAAAAGAACACTTATTGCGGCATAACTATAATAGTTAGACATATGTTGTTGCGACACTTTTTGTAAATAATATTGTGTTCTACAAAATCGTAGTACATTATTTTATTCTATTATCAATATTTTTCGCAGGGCACGCGATGTAAAGAATATTTTAGGTATGTAATTTTTTTACATTATTAGAATTTTAGTAAGGATTCCTAATTTTTTCAAAAAAAATTGTAGCCTCTGTCACTCGGGAATAGTGTAGCTTCCAAACAGTGAAAGAATTTTTCAAATCGGTTCAGTAGTTTCGGAGCCTATTCAATACAAACAAACAAACAAATCTTTCCTTTTTATAATATTAGTATAGAAGTATTGATTACGTATTTTTACTAGTAAACTTCAAAACATAAAAGTGTTTCCATATAAAATGTCGATTTGAATCGGATTAAATGTCTCTTTTTTCCCCCACTTTATCCCACTAGGTGGGGTCGGCACAGCAATTTTTTCTCTTCCATTCTCTTCTATCAGCCGTTATCTCAACACTCACTCATTTCTCTTTCATATCGTCATTCACACACTCCGTCCATGTCTTCTTCGGTCGACCACTCCCCCCTCTACCTTGCACTACCATTTCCATACATCTCCTAGTCACGTGCATCTTCTCTCTACGCATCACATGTCCATATCACGAATCGCTTTAAATGTGTATATAACAAAACAATAATGTTTTTTTCTATTTTTATCGAACCTTATACGTGAGATTTTGGCGCTTATAGGGCGCGCGGAATCTGTAGGTGTCGACGGTCCGCAGATGTTGTGAGCGGACCGCGGGCCCAAGGCTTTTTTAGGGTCTACCCACCAAACGACTCTCCTTGCACTCTTTCATTCGAGAAGTGATCTACGACCGGGGTTCGAACGTGGGCATACGGGGTCACATGTGGGTTCGGTTACGAGTGACGGATGAAAGGCGATTGCATGCAGCAGAGATGCGAACGTTGCGATGGATGTGTGGAGTAACGATATGGATAGAATACGTAATAAATATATTACAGGAAGTCTGAAAGTGGCAACTGTGACGGAGAAGCTGAGAAGTGCGCGTTTGGGATGGTATGGACATGTGATGTGACGAAATGAGGATGGTAAGAGAGTGTTAACTATGAATGTGGAAGGATATAGAGGAAGAGGTAGACCTAAGAAGAAATGAATGGATTGCGTGAGAAAGACGATATGGGTAAGAGAGGAGTCAGAGAAGAAATGGTATATGATAGAGGAGTATGGAAGGAGAAAACATGTTGCGCCCACCCCAGGTGACTGGGAGAAGAGCAGGAGAATGATGATGGAGATGACATACTGATGTCGCTCCTGGATTGGCGCCGGATAAAGGAATTCTGCAGCATTGGTCAACGTAACAGATATTTTGTGCACGAATTTTATTATGATACTAGCTGACCCGGCAGACTTCGTAGTGCCTCAGTCGATAAATAAAAGACCTAAACTTTTGTATAAAATAAACTTAAAACAAACAAAAGGAATCCGCCCGACGGGGGACGCATCAAAGGGAAAACAAAATTGTTATTTTTATTTAATTCCGAGTATTTTCATTCATTTATCTACCTTTTAAACCTTCTCTGGATTTTCACAAATAATTCAAGACTAAAATTAGCCAAATCGGTCCAGCCGTTCTCGAGTTTTAGCGAGACTAACGAACAGCAATTCATTTTTATATATATATAGACATATGATAACCGGTTTTAAGTTCTACCATATTCGCTGTTAAAACCGTCTGCAGTTATAGAGTTGACGCGGTCGCTCGCCGAACATGGGGTCAGGGTTTTATGCCCGCTGGTTGATTGTGTAATTGAATTAAAAACTAGTTAAAAAAAAACCTCTATAATATAGAGAGAGAGTGAGCAACATACTTTATTGCACACCAAAACACAATTAATATCAGAAAACAGTCAACAAGCAGATAAAAGCGATCCCTTCCAGACAACCGTTTAATTCTGGACAGATAAAGGTATAGCAGGTATGTTGCAGGGTACTATTAACAATACATTATTAAAGAAAATACATACATACATACATACATATTTTCACTGGCGGTAGGACCTCTTATGAGTCCGCGCGGGTAGGTACCACTGCCCTGCCTATTTCTGCCGTGAAGCAGTAATGCGTTTCGGTTTGAAGGGTGGGGCAGCCGTTGTAACTATACTTGAGACCTTAGAGCTTATATCTCAAGGTGGGTGGCGGCATTTACGTTGTAGATGTCTATGGGCTCCAGTAACCACTTAACACCAGGTGGGCTGTGAGCTAGTCCAACCATATAAGCAATAAAAAAAAATTGAAACCTAATTTAAAAAAAACCTCTATAATATACATGATACTGTAATAATAATATAGAGGAGTGAAAAGCTATTTGGTATAAGCGACATCTTTGCAACTTTACAAGAATTAAAGGTTAAAATTTCCAAAAAATATCATAACCAAAAAACTTCTTCAGCTATTTCAATAGAGTAAATTTAATTGAAGTTCAATTAAAAACATCGAACTGTTGATGCTGATGCCAAACAAAACGGACCTCTAATTACAAAGATAAATGGCGCGTATTAAGCGAAATTTTAACCCACAGACCCAGCCCACTGAGTTTCTCGCCGTATCTTCTCAGTGGGTCGCGTTTCCTATCCGGTGGTAGATTCTGCGAAGCACTGCTCTTGCTATGTTGGCACCACTCCGGTTTGAGCCCCGTGAACTCACCTACATGTTAGGGCGAAGCTGAAATAGCCTCTCAAGGCTATCAGCATAGGTAGGGAAAAAAAGTTTGAAGTCGTCGTGGCCTAAAGGATAAGACGTCCGATGCATTCGTATGTAGCGATGCACCGGTGTCCGAATCCCGCAGGCGGGTACCAATTTTTCTAATGAAATAAGTACTCAACACATGTTCACGATTGACTTCCACGGTGAAGGAAAACCATCGTGTAATAAAAATCAAACCCGCAAAATTATAATTTGCGTAATCACTGGTGGTAGAACCTCTTGTGAGTCCGCGCGGGTAGGTACCACCACCCTGCCTATTTCTGCCGTGAAGCAGTAATGCGTTTCGGTTTTAAGAGTGGGGCAGCTGTTGTAACTATACTGAGACCTTAGAACTTATATCTCAAGGTGGGTGGGGCATTTAAGTTGTAGATGTCTATGGGCTCCAGTAACCACTTAACATTAGGTGGGCTGTGAGCTCGTCCACTCATCTAAGCAATAAAAAAAAAACGTTCCTCAGGACTATATACACATATGAGAAAACAGCAGAACCGTAAAGAAGACGACCCTGACAGGGGAATCGAATCCGAACTCCATAGAATATAGGTCCGGTTCACTAGCCAATGTACCAAAGAAATATGAAACGTGCCTTTCAAGATATCATTTTGGCCGCGTACCATATGCGAATTGAAATGAATTTCGCCCCAAAATGCTTCCCGCATTTATGCTCTTCTTGACTTAGACATTAATCATCAAGTGTTTACTTGGCAATCCAATACATATATTAGCTTAATTTGATCATAAATAAACCTTATTCGGGAAGGTCGTATCGAAGGTGGAATGATAAAACTTTTAGGTCAAATGTCTAGACGGGCGTGGTGATATGACTCAGTGTTGCTAGATACGAAGGTTCACGTTTTTGGTTGGGTTTTAGTGGAAAGAGAAGATCTTTCATAAAGCTGATGAACTTTCTCGGTATTTTTTTTATTGCTTAGGTTGGTGGAGGAGCTCACGGTCCACCTGGAGCTAAGCGGTTACCGGAGCCCATTTACGTTGTAGATGTCTATGGGCTGCTGAATACACTACTGGAACCGCGAATCACTGAAAAGGTTCGCGCAAGAAACTCACCGGCCTGTGGTGTTATATTAACTAAGTTACTATTTAAAGTTTTTCAGCTCAGCCTACTGGCTACGTCTACAATGCCAGATACACTGGTGGTAGGACCTTTTGTGAGTCCGTGCGGGTAGGTTCCACCACCCTGCCTATTTCTGCCGTGAAGCAGTAATGCGTTTCGGTTTGAAGGGCGGGCCGGCGTTGTAACTCTACTTGAGACCTTAACTTATATCTCAAGGTGGGTGGCGCATCTACGTTGTACATGTCTATGAGCTCCAGTAACTAACCACTCAACACCAGGTGGGCTGTGAGATCGTCCATCCATCCAAGCAATAAATAAATAAAAGTAGTTACGTATTGTGGGTCCGCACGGATAGGTTCCATCCAAGACGATGGAACCTATCCGTG